CCTTTTCGTCGGGCTCGAACCTGCGACCTCTGTACTACATGCCTGATATGGACGCATCGCTATCTACTGTACGATTAGATTAGATGGGGCGGCAGTGCGCGGCACAGCTCGGGCTCCGCTGACACAGCCTCTCTGACTCACCGGCCCCCGGGGCCGCGTCAGCATGCTGCGCACGGACCAGCTGTGCACGGACCAGTGCGCACAGCCTCCCCTAAACTTCCCCTGTATATAAGCCGGCCTCTGCTGCCCTAGGGACCTCAGTTTCGACCTCTTGTCCCTAGGTCAGTAAGCCTTCAGTTGTATTCCTTTTTCCTTACCTAACTAATATATTATCTTGTCCCTAGCCTTAGGTTTGAGCATTGCTCACCATCGCTTCGGTGAGATCTAGTCGGATGCCCCCAGCTTTTTAGGTTTTCCCCTGTCGCTTGACCTCAAGTCGCGACACCTTCACACGCAGTTCCTAAACCTCCGATGCACGACGGGCACAAACCTCCACAATGAATTCAACTGACTTCGTGTCCGGTATGAGGAGCTAATGAACATGGACATCCTCATTAGTAACATTGAGTATGCCTTGCTCATAATCAATTTCTTACCCGATGAGCTTTCCACCTTCATCTCCCAGCTCTCTGCGACTGCAAAGCTTGCTGCCTGCTTGCAAGGTGCACCTGTCATGCCTACGACCAATAACAGATCACCCATATTGGCTGTTCCGGTCCTTGATGTGGAAACACTGATGGAGTTGGTGCTTGAAGAATGGGATCACCATCAGGGTATGATGGGTGAAGCAAAGGCAAAGGACACTGGTGTTGCTGCTAGTGCTGTTGTGTCTGAGAAACCCACCTGGAAAGGTTGCCGCGGTCCGCAGCGTCCAGTCGGTGTGTGCTGGAACTGCAGGGGTAAGGGCCACAGGAAGGATCAGTGCCCCAGCCCCAATCTTGATGCCATGAACAACAAGGACTCATCCTCATCATCATCAAAGCCTGATGCATTGCTGCAGAAGGCTGCCATTGCCGCTGCCGCAACAACTGCCAGTGCAACTGTCCCACCGCTGGATGATGTTGCAGGTGCCTGGTCTGCATTCATAACCGCCAACGTCGCAGACTCCACATCCAGCTCGTCTGATGATGATGCATGTCTTTGGTCATCCGATGATGATGCCCACTCAGACTACACTGCTCTTACCGAGGAATCTGACCATGATTCTTTGCCGTCACTACGCACCGAGTCTGACTCGGACTCAGATGCTATGCCACTGCCCAGGGTGCTTCTAGTCGAAGATCCTATCACGCCCGAACCATTGAGTATGCTGCTCTCGATGGAGGCCTGCCTTGCCGCTGTATGCTTGTGGATTGATGATGTTGATGGCGATGTCGATATCCACGCTGCTGGGTCTGCAATTGCCGCTGCGAACACCATTGCTCCCATCCAATCTGCCGACCTGTATGATTCGGGTGCCAGTCATCACATGTCGCCGTACCAAGAGGATTTCCTCACCTTTTGCGAGATTTTGCTGCAAACCCTGAGCTCTGCCAATTAGCAGCCTTTTCAGGCTACTGGTGTTGGGGATATGCTTATCTCCATGCTGAATGACCAATCACTGTCTTCGCAAATCTGCCTTACCCATGTCCTATACATGCCTGACATCGGGTTCAATCTTGTTTTGATTGGCAGGATCGATGATGCAGGGTATTCCGCCATCTTCGCTGAAGGAAAGTGCATCATTTTGGATAAGGACGGGGTCACCATTGGGTCTATACCAAAAACCCATGGTCTGTACCTTGTTGCCCATTTGCATAATGGAGGCTCTGTGCATGCTGTTGCCACACAACCCGACCGGCTCAGTATCATGGATCTCCACCGCCATCTCAGTCATATTGCATTGCGCGCCATCCACGAACTCCTCTCGAAGGGTCTTGTCACTGGTTTTGAGCTCATACCTTCTGACAAACCCAAGGTTTGTGAGGTCTGCATTCATGCGAAGTCTACACGGCAGCCTGTCCCATGTGTGCGTGAGGGTGAGTGTGCTGCTACATTTGGTGACAAAGTTCACTCTGACCTGTGGGGCCCTTCCCGTGTCACTACCCTGGGTGGTCAACAATATTACATCAGCTTCACAGACAATACCACTCGGTTCTTGACATGTTACCTGCTCCGCATAAAGAGTGATGCATTTGCCGCTTTCTATGCCTTTGATGCCTGGCTCGAGAACCACTTCAGTGTCTGCATCAAGGTGCTGAACACTGACCATGGGGGCAAATACATTGGCGACGCCTTCAAGGCTCGCCTTGAACATCGCGGGATTGATGCGAAGCTGTCCGTCCACAACACGCATGCGGAGGCTGGCGTATCCGAGCGGCTGAACCGCATGCTGATGGAGAAGACCTGTGCTCTGTTGATTGCTGCTGGGCTGCCTCGTTTCTTGTGGGGCGAGGCTGTTCTTCATGCTGTCTGGTTGAAGAACTGCATGTCAACATGAGCATTGGGAGGTAACACACTGTTTGCTGCTGTCCACGGGCACGCTCCAGACCTGCGTGGTCTGCCAGTGTGGGGTAGTCATGTGTGGGTGCATGATGCCTCATCTGGCAAGGTTGGTGAGTGCGCCAGGGCCGGGCGCTGGGTCAGTTTCGACACTCAGAGCAAGGGGCATCGAGTGTACTGGCCACAGGAGGGACACAGTGAGTGTGCGCACGCGCCAGCGCCATCCAGCGGCACGGCTGCCCTCCAGCGGCACAGCTGCCCTCCAGCGGCACAGCTGCCCTCCAGCCCTCCCTCCTGCACCAGCGGCTGGCAGTCTACAACGACAAGGACGGCAATGGCACAAGCACCGCTGGGGCTAGTGGCATGCTAGGCCATTGGATGTTCCCTCCACTGGCGCCCTTTGCACACGCACATGACGTGCCACCGGGATACGCACCACTGGGATACGCACCATCAGGATACACACCACCGGGATATGCACCACCGGGATATGCGCCGCACCCGCAGCCAACCCTCCTGCATGCCCCCTGGTATGCACCACATGGCTGGCCAGTCGACAGCCAGACTCTGGACAGCTATGAGGTGATGGACCTGCGGGACGCAGGACATTATTACTGCCCGCTGCCCCCTCAGTTCTGCATGCCCGAATTCCACACGCCCAGCCTCATGATGCCCGACAGCACCTACATCCCGTCGGGGAGGGTCCACCCACATTTCTACGAGGATTTCGGCCAGGCAGCTGCAACTGCATTCACCGACGTGCCTCAAGGTGTGCCATACGCCAGCTTCAAGGTGGCCACTGAAACATTTGTCTTTCCGTTCTATTCCTTGTATTACTAGCGCCCATACTGGCGCCTGTCTTAGCGCTCACCCACAGGTTGAACATTATGTAGCTTACATAATGGGGTCCGTGCACACTTCATACCTGGTATCGTGCCACTATGTTTCTTTCTTTACTAAACACGACCACACAGACACGATGGTCCGTACATAGCCGGTACTTGTATAAATAGTTGTACCATTAGTCGGTCGAACCCTAAGTTCAACCTGGTTATTCATTCAAGTCTCTGCTCCTCCTCGCTTGGGGTAGTGGTCATTCTCGACTTCCTCACTCGATCTTCAGGACGACGCACTGTCCATAAGTCCTCACTTGTCGTCTACGAGTCAGGCATTACTATAGGAGTATAGACCATTGTAACAAAAGGTCGAACTTTCTAAAGCTATGTTTCTAGTTTTACCTAGTCGAACATCTCATCCACCATCACGTCGAACAACGCAGTCAACCCAGTTCCTTTGGGACTACCAGCCCTCGCAGGATCACCGCTCCTCCAGTACGACCAAGCAGATCGCTGCTTCGTCACCTCCACAAAGAGGGCTCCCATATACCCTCGAGGCGGCACCTGGTGTCGTGCTACCGGTCCAAACCCGCAGGTCATCGCCCACCAAGAACTCGTTAGCTACTACCAGAGACACCCACCTGCTCATCCAGAAGACGTATTCACCATCCTACGGATCGACGTCGAACCTACACAAACAGCAGAAAGCGTGCAGTCACCCATCAACGAACAACCACTCGAACTCCCTGAAGTTCAGTACGTTCCCATCGAAATCCCAGACATTGAACTACCACCAGCCCCACCCGCACCAACCAACGCACCGGTTGAAGTCCCTATGGCAACGTTCACTCAAGAAGACATCAATCAGCGCATCGCTGTCGCCCTCGCAGCATACCAATCCCAACAGTCAACTGCCAACCGACCCCTTCGCCTCGACATCCCCGCTCCCGAACCTTTCAGCGGAAAGGCGGAGGACCTCAGACACTTCATCCAATGCATCCTCTCCTACTTCGTCACCACCAACAACACCCGACTCAGCGATGAAGCAAAGATCACCTTCACTGTAGCGCTGATGAGGAAGGATCTGGGGAAGACATGGGCGGACGCGTATTACAAAAAGTCGGCAGGGGGAGTCCAGGTCTATTCCACTTGGGCAGACTTCGTTGCTGCTCTAGAAGAGGCGTTCCCTGAGCACAGAATGTGAATCAAGGCACATCAAATCCTGATGAAACTGCCTGAACGACAGAAGGATAGGAAGACGGTGCTCTCCCTCGGTAACTACGTCACCCGCTTCGAGCAGCTAGCATCAAAAGCTCAGCTCAAGGATGCCGAGGTCAATGGCACCAACCGCGTCGAGAACGACTACCACACTCTCCATGCCAACTTCGTCAAAGGACTCCCGAAGGAGCTGTATTTTGCGCTCGCAACAAGGGTCGCTAGGGATCGACCCAACACCATGAAGGCCTGGTACGACGAAGTTCGAAACGCCGACGCAGCTAAGCAGGGGGCTCTCATCGTCACAGACACCAGGGACTATGGCGAACCAATGGATATCGACGCCGCTGCCATCGCATCAACCTTCGCCTCCACATCGGGAGGAAGGAAATGGGAACTAGGAGCCGCTCTCAACGAGGCCAATCGGAAGCTCCACAGGGACAGGAACCTGTGCTTCTACTGCCACATCAAGGGTCACAGCGCCAAGGATTGCCAAAAGAAAGCGGCCGCACGACAAGGAGGTGGGAGGCCGAACCAGGGAGGATCTGGGAAGGACGACTTCCGTGCCAGAATCAAGGCACTCTCCGCCGATGAGAAGCGGGAGCTGTACGAAGAACTCACAATGGAGGATTTTTGAAGGGGCAGGGTGAGCCGACGCAACCACTGCCCGTATCCGTTTCACTGTCCCGTGTAATTCTAGTAGTCCGAAATGAACACGCTCTGCACATTCCAATTACTGTGGGATGAAAAGACGTCGAGGCGCGCGCTTTCATCGATAGCGGCGCAACAGGAATCTTCATCAGCCCGAGATTCGTCCGAGAACATCGACTTCGGACAGAACCTCTTCCCCGACCCATCCCTGTCTTCAACGTGGACGGAACACCGAACAAAGAAGCACTCATCACGCGAAGAGCTCTCTTATCTTACAAGATAAGCGGAGAACCCCGATTTGTCAAAGCCTACGTCGCCAGCATCGGCAAGGAAGACATCATCTTTGGCCATACCTGGCTCAAGCTCAAAAACCCCAAGATAGACTGGAAAACCGGACGAGTTGAGCTAAACCACCGGTGGACGAAAGACGAGACCAGGGCCTGGAAGATGGACCTGTACCAAAGGCGAGTGGCTCGGCTAGAACTGAAGAAGGCCGTAACTACCCCACTCCCAGAACCAACGGAGGACGAATTCGTCGTCATCTCCACCTCAGAGCACGCAACCCTTCCCGAACGAAAGACTAGCGGCGCAGCAGGATATGACATCTCCGCTGCGCATCAACTTATCATCCCTGCCCGACGACGAGGCCTGGTCGGCACTGACCTCATCATGGCTATCCCCAAAGGACACTACGGAAGAATCGCACCTCGGTCCGGTCTAGCGCTAAAAGAAATCGATGTCGCTGCAGGAGTAATCGACTCCGATTACCGAGGCAAGGTCTGAGTCCTGCTGGTCAATAACTCAGACCTCCCATTCACCGTCAAAGCCGGCGACCGAGTTGCCCAGCTCATCCTTGAAAGGATAAGCACCCCACCAGTAACGCTAACCGACCGCTGATAGGCGCCGAGCCCCGCTGGGCCCCGATACACCTCTTTTCGGCACTCACATCCCGCCCGGCACTTCGACTCAGTCTCCCAACACTTCGATTTCGCCTTCGACGCTCTTCGACACCTTCGACGGTGCGCGACGCTTACTCGAAGCTCGGCACGGTCGTCCCGATGCCTCGCGCGTAGATCCCGGGACATCTTCCGCATTCGGCGAACAATAGGGCCACTTAACGCCGCTCGGCCAAGCGCGCGCTTCGCTCCAAGCCACACCGAAGTAGCCGGTCTTTCCCGATTAGGTATCGAACCTCGCGGCATGCCTTCAACGACGGATACCGGTCCGAAGTGGCCATATGTTGCCCTTCATCTCCGCGTTCGGCATGATGTCACTCTACCGATGGACTTGATGCGTGCCACTCGGTGAGGCAGCTTCTTGAGGAACAATGCAAAGCCCCTTGTACCAGTGTGCCACTCTCGAATAGTCGTAGCGTCCTGTGTAGTATAAAAACCTGTCGTACTTCTCTCT